CAAGTAGCACTCTTAGAAAAAAAGGTGCTGTCTAGAACCAAAACGGGTTATTCGGCTGTCCGCATAGGAGAACCCTACAACCCTTTTTGGTACCAGGTATAACCCTTTTGGTTATTGGTAGAACCCTTTTGGGTTCCATGTAGAACCCTTTCGACAGAGGGTTCTACATGAAACTAAAAAGGGTTCTACCTGGAACCAAAAAGGGTTGTAGGGTTCTCCTATGCGGACAGCCAAAGAACCATTTTGGAATCCTTTTTTCTAAGGGTTTAGTGCAGAATACTGCCCATTAAAATAAATCCAGAATTTGAAGTTTTGAGGTGCATATCACTGTGGATTTAGCTCATAGGCTGTGAATGACATAAATTGGGAGAGGGCAATCAAGCAGATTAAATAGATTGACATATCGTGTTTGAGTGGAGCAACCAAAGGAATGTCCCTCCACACTGTTCTCTGCTAGTGTGGTCCAGTCTATCCTCTTAGGATCGTGTTCAATCCAAACCAGCAAGAAGAAGTTTGTAGCACTAGGGTAAAGCCAAAACATGGTGAATTGTTTCTTCAGCATTGCACAAGAGGGTATTTGAATGAATATGAAGTTGAGTGTTTGTCTGATTTTGATTGAGTAGGACCGTTAGTATCAGGCTGAGAAAGCATACTTAGGGTTGAGCGCTGTGCCAGCTAGCATGTACAAACATATGTCGGCACTGGGGAATGGGCTCCACACCACATACAGTGGGGGAAAAAAGTATTTAGTCAGCCACCAATTGTGCAAGTTCTCCCACTTAAAAAGATGAGAGAGGCCTGTAATTTTCATCATAGGTACACGTCAACTATGACAGACAAAATGAGGGAAAACAATCCAGAAAATCACATTGTAGGATTTTTTATGGATATATTTGCAAATTATGGTGGAGAATATGTATTTGGTCAATAACAAAAGTTTCTCAATACTTTGTTATGTACCCTTTGTTGGCAATGACACAGGTCAAACGTTTTCTGTAAGTCTTCACAAGGTTTTCACACACTGTTGCTGGTATTTTGGCCCATTCCTCCATGCAGATCTCCTCTAGAGCAATGATGTTTTGGGGCTGTCGCTGGGCAACACGGACTTTCAAGACCCAGCCACATTTCATCTTCAATGCCCTTGCTGATGGAAGGAGGTTTTCACTCAAAATCTCACGATACATGGCCCCATTCATTCTTTCCTTTACACGGATCAGTCGTCCTGGTCCCTTTGCAGAAAAACAGCCCCAAAGTATGATGTTTCCACCCCCATGCTTCACAGTAGGTATGGTGTTCTTTGGATGCAACTCAGCATTCTTTGTCCTCCAAACACGACGTTTTTACAGAAAAGTTATATTTTGGTTTCATCTGACCATAAGACATTCTCCCAATCCTCTTCTGGATCATCCAAATGCACTCTAGCAAACTTCAGACGGGCCTGCACATGTACTGGCTTAAGCAGGGGGACACGTCTGGCACTGCAGGATTTGAGTCCCTGGCGGCGCAGTGTGTTACTGATGGTAGGCTTTGTTACTTTGGTCCCAGCTCTCTGCAGGTCATTCACTAGGTTCCCCCGTGTGGTTCTGGGATTTTTGCTCACAGTTCTTGTGATCATTTTGACCCCACGGGGTGAGATCTTGCGTGGAGCCCCAGATCGAGGGAGATTATCAGTGGTCTTGTATGTCTTCCATTTCCTAATATTTGCTCCCACAGTGGATTTCTTCAAACCAAGCTGCTTACCTATTGCAGATTCAGTCTTCCCAGCCTGGTGCAGGTCTACAATTTTGTTTCTGGTGTCCTTTGACAGTTCTTTGGTCTTGGCCATAGTGGAGTTTGGAGTGTGACTGTTTGAGGTTGTGGACAGGTGTCTTTTATACTGATAACAAGTTCAAACAGGTGCCATTAATACAGGTAACGAGTGGAGGACAGAGGAGCCTCTTAAAGAAGAAGTTACAGGTCTGTAAGAGCCAGAAATCTTGCTTGTTTGTAGGTGACCAAATACTTATTTTCCACCATAATTTGCAAATAAATTCATAAAAAATCCTACAATGTGATTTTCTGGATTTTTTTCCCCTCAATTTGTCTGTCATAGTTGACGTGTACCTATGATGAAAATTACAGGCCTCTCTCATCTTTTTAAGTGGGAGAACTTGCACAATTGGTGGCTGACTAAATACTTTTTTTCCCCACTGTATATGTATGCTTTTAAATATGTTTTTCAATACCCAGTTGATATACGTTGAACACTTGAATTGATGATCGTTATATGGATTCCTTTTATGCTTTTTTACAATATGTACATATTGCACTCTGGTTAGAATGTTTATACATAATGTACAGCGGGAAAACATGTGAGAACTTGAATATATAAATATACTATGTACCACACTCAACCTAGATTCACAGGAGGGTTTCTTCTTACACACAACTTTTGACTGCAACCAGCACTTAAAGTAACTGTCCAGTGAAAATCTCACTTTTAAAAGTTAATATTCTGTTAACTCATACCCAAATAATGTTGTTGACTTATACTCGTATTTATGGCTAAAGCATAAATTGGATAAAAAAACACTTAAAAAACCCCACCTCAAACATATATCTCAAACAGACCGTTTCAAAAATGCTTGCTATTTCCTCATAGAAAAAATGTCATGCTCCTGGGGAGGATGAGCTGGCCAATCAGCAGTCTACTCACATGAATATCTTTAATTGCTGGTATATGCCCACACCATTCTGTTGTGTAGTACGCTCACACCATTTCAACACAGAAAAGCTGCTTTTTAACATACTTAATTACAAAACGGATTAACTCATATTGTAATTAATTATAGGTCATATTTCATAGAAATCTGGAAAACTGGACAGTTTAATATATAGTCTCTTATTATATATATATATATATATATAAAATAAACAAAACAAACACAAAAAGCAATCCCTTTTCTTTTGGTAGAAATAAACTAGACCCGCAGTGACAACAGACTGTGTAGGGGCCAGAGCGGCTCATGTGTGGGTGGTAATCCATGCCTTAGTAAAATAGAGAACTCTCTGGTAAGGGACACCATGCGTAATGGCGGACGTGACTGGTTCGAGTTTGTTTGGTTTCCCTGTTATTGTCCAAGGCACTTTTTTTCAAGGCTCTCTCTTCTGGACAGCTCTGGTTTGGCTTCAACCTGCGAGAGAGAGGAAGTGAAATGTAGTGCTCACTCGTACTTGGCAGCCAAAAAAAATGATTTCCTCACCGAAAGTGCCATGACAAATGGAGAAAGACAAGTGATTTGTTACAGATCTGCACTTCATGCAGTGGACAAAAGGTGCATGGCACTGATTAGATATATTGTCTCTCCTTATAAGGCTGAGAAAGACATATTAACATTACTTAACTTCTTCCTTTCAACTTCACACTATGACTGTCAGCAGTAAATTTGAACCATATCAGGTGCAGTTTACCTTGGCCAGGTGTAAGTAGGCCACATTTCACTTTTGCAACATATTTTTTTATGTGGGAAAAGTACAATTGATCTGTGTCAGGTTTAACAATGCATATTATTATACAGTCGTGGTCAAAAGTTTTCCGACCACAAGTTCTCAATGGGATTAAGGTCTGGGGGAGTTTCCTGGCCATGGACCCAAAATGTCGATGTTTTGTTCCCCGAGCCACTTAGTTATCACTTTTGCCTTATGGGAAGATGCTCCATCATGCTGGAAAAGGCATTGGTCGTCACCAAACTGTACTTGGATGGTTGGGAGAAGTTGCTCTCGGAGGATGTGTTGGTACCATTCTTTATTCATGGCTGTGTTCTTAGGCAAAATTGTAAGTGAGCACCCTCCCTTGGCTGAGAAGCAACCCCACACATGAATGGTCTCAGGATGCTTTACTGTTGGCATGACACAGGACTGATGGTAGCGCTCACCTTGTCTTCTCCGGACAAGGTGTTTTCCGGATGCCCCAAACAATCGGAAAGGGGATTCATCAGAGAAAATGACTTTACCTGAGTCCTCAGCAGTCCAATCCCTGTACCTTTTGCAGAATATCAGTCTGTCCCTGATGTTTTTCCTGGAGAGGAGTGGCTTCTTTGCTGCCCTTCTTGACACCAGGCCATCCTCCAAAAGTCTGCGTGCAGATGCACTCACACCTGCCTGCTGCCATTCCTGAGCAAGCTCTGCACTGGTGGTGCCCCGATCCCGCAGCTGAATCAACTTTAGGAGACGGTCCTGGCGCTTGCTGGACTTTCTTGGGCGCACTGACGCCTTCTTCACAACAATTGAACCTCTCTCCTTTAAGTTCTTGATGATCCGATAAATGGTTGATTTAGGTGCAATCTTACTAGCAGCAATGTCCTTGCCTGTGAAGCACTTTTTGTGCAAAGCAATGATGACGGCACATGTTTCCTTGCAGGTAACCATGGTTAACAGAAGAAGAACAATGATATCAAGCACCACCCTCCTTTTAAAGCTTCCAGTCTGTTATTCTAACTCAATCAACATGACAGAGTGATCTCCAGCCTTGTCCTCGTCAACACTCTCACCTGTGTTAACGAAAGAATCACTGACATGATGGCAGCTGGTCCTTTTGTGGCAGGGCTGAAATGCAGTGGAAATGTTTTTGGGGGATTAAGTTAATTTTCATGGCAAAGAGGGACTTTGCAATTAATTGCAATTCATCTGATCACTCTTCATGACATTCAGGAGTATATGCAAATTGCCATCATCAAAACTGAGGCAGCAGACTTCGAACATTAGTATTTGTGTCATTCTCAAAACTTTTGACCACGACTGTACATGTAACAGGTCTATTTGATCTCCACTGATTTTTTGACCTGTGTAAAGCCCATTTAGACTGTTATTAGTACATTACAACTATATTCATGCAATGTTTCAATGAACAGAATGACCTCAGACATTAAAAAAACATGCACAATACTTAGGGCCCTGAGGTCTTCCTGAACATGTGTAGGAAAAACTATTAAAATACATTATGAACACTTACTTTATTTCTGCTACCCTTCTGTACATCGTGGGCTCCCCGCTAATCGTTTGAGAAGCCGCGCACATCTTTTGAAGTCTGAAAAGGAATTAAGAGAAAAAGAGGAGGGATGAATGCCTGGGAGACAGTACTATGCCTCCCCTTATACAGAACACATGTGTTGTGCTTGTAAACGCTTTGCTTAAATCCAGGGAGAAATCATTATTTATGCCATATGAAGAGGTTGAGGAACTTACATGCAGGAATTGTGCAGTCTCGGGTGTTGTGATATAGTCTGTATACATGCTTCCTGCATTTGGGACTGAAATACAGAGGACCTGAGGGACAAAGAAAGCCTTTGAATTAATAAAGCAGAGCAGACAGACTACTATCCCCTTTCTCTTCCTTTCACATCTTTTACACCCATTTTAAATATTTGTCATTTTTATTGCACCTTTAGTTTATCAGGGAGTCATACTGAGACCACGGTCTCTTTTACAGATGAGCCCTGAATTACATAAATTACTGAAAAGACACACATCAAAATATAAATACAAAATCAAGCAGAAAAAAAACATGGTCATAAATAACACTACAATTAGCAGACACTTCGACTTACAGTAGTGAGTGCATACATTTCTGTACTCAAATCACACACACTCCATATGATGTATATCTTACCTGTTAGGTGTTTTAAAATATTTTCTTTCTTTCTGAGATCTCTAGGAAATATTTCTGAAAGAAAAAAGAATACAGGGGTTCGGAACAGGAGATCAAAGTGTAGACCTATAACTTTCTGCAGCCAGATTACTCGTAACATACACTGCTCAAAAAAATAAAGGGAACACTTAAACAACACAATGTAACTCCACGTCAATCACACTTCTGTGAAATCAAACTGTCCACTTAGGAAGCAACACTGATTGACAATACATTTCACATGCTGTTGTGCAAATGGAATAGACAACAGGTGGAAATTATAGGCAATTAGCAAGACACCCCCCAATAAAGGACTGGTTTTGCAGGTGGTGACCACAGACCACTTCTCAGTTCCTATGCTTCCTGGCTGATGTTTTGGTCACTTTTGAATGCTGGCGTTGCTTTCACTCTAGTGGTAGCATGAGACAGAGTCTACAACCCACACAAGTGGCTCAGGTAGTGCAGCTCATCCAGGATGGCACATCAATGCGAGCTGTGGCAAGAAGGTTTGCTGTGTCTGTCAGCGTAGTCTCCAGAGCATGGAGGCGCTACCAGGAGACAGGCCAGTACATCAGGAGACATGGAGGAGGCCGTAGGAGGGCAACAACCCAGCAGCAGGACTGCTACCTCCGCCTTTGTGCAAGGAGGAGCAGGAGGAGCACTGCCAGAGCCCTGCAAAATGTGCATGTGTCTGCTCAAACGGTCAGAAACAGACTCCATGAGGGTGGCATGAGGGCCTGACGTCCACAGGTGGGGGTTGTGCTTACAGCCCAACACCGTGCAGGACGTTTGGCATTTGCCAGAGAACACCAAGATCGGCAAATTCGCCACTAGCGCCCTGTGCTCTTCACAGATGAAAGCAGGTTCACACTGAGCACATGTGACAGACGTGACAGAGTCTGGAGACGCCGTGGAGAATGTTCTGCTGCCTGCAACATCCTCCAGCATGACCGGTTTGGCGGTGGGTCAGGCATGGTGTGGGGTGGCATTTCTTTGGGGGGCCGCACAGCCCTCCATGTGCTCGCCAGAGGTAGCCTGACTGCCATTAGGTACCGGGATGAGATCCTCAGACCCCTTGTGAGACCATATGCTGGTGCGGTTGGCCCTGGGTTCCTCCTAATGCAAGACAATGCTAGACCTCATGTGGCTGGAGTGTGTCAGCAGTTCCTGCAAGAGGAAGACATTGATGCTATGGACTGGCCCGCCCATTCCCCAGACCTGAATCCAATTGAGCACAACTGGGACATCATGTCTCGCTCCATCCACCAACGCCACGTTGCACCACAGACTGTCCAGGAGTTGGCGGATGCTTTAGTCCAGGTCTGGGAGGAGATCCCTCAGGAGACCATCCGCCACCTCATCAGGAGCATGCCCTGGCGTTGTAGGGAGGTCATACATGCACGCGGAGGCCACACACACTACTGAGCCTCATTTTGACTTGTTTTAAGGACATTACATCAAAGTTGGATCAGCCTGTAGTGTGGTTTTCCACTTTAATTTTGAGGGTGACTCCAAATCCAGACCTCCATGTGTTGATACATTTGATCTCCATTGATAATTTTTGTGTGATTTTGTTGTCAGCACATTCAACTATGTAAAGAAAAATGTATTTAATAAGATTATTTCATTCATTCAGATCTAGGATGTGTTATTTTAGTGTTCCCTTTATTTTTTTGAGCAGTGTATTTGGAAGATGTGCATCCAGCACCCTTGCTCTTTACAGTCTTTGGTGGTCTTTTTACACCACCACTTAGGACTGTTTTACAACATATTTTAGAGTCCATGGAAACGCCCAGCTTTCAATGTGCGAACTCACCAATAACTTGATCGCCACTATCTCTTTTGAGGTTGCGTAAATCCCTTGCCTCAACCCGGGATTCTCTCCTAGAAATCGACTGCGATGCTGCGTTCACGCCGTTCTCAATGCAGCTCTCCTGCACGTGCTTCACTGTGTCCACTTTCCGCATGAGCAAGCTCTTGTCGTTCCTCGCTACCGTGGGAGACACGGCGGGTTCGATCTCACAGTGGCCAGTAGTAGTGCAGATCAGCAGCACGAGTCCAATAACTACCGGCTCGCTCAGTACGCTCATCCTATGGCAGGCTAAGAAAAGTGAGCTCCCCCTGTCGCTGCGGTGAGTTTCACAAGACCCCAACAAGAGTAAATTGGGGTCAAAATGACTACCTTCGACGCACTGATCAATTACATTATTTCCTTATCTTCAACATTTCACCAACATTATTACAATATAGCTATCATGCCCATATATCCTGTCATCAGTTAAACATTCACACCCATTCTATAGGAGATTAACAGGCGGACTACCCAGCTTTCATTGATCAAATCTATCCATATTTGCTTATTCAAATATGAATAGACTGTCAACACTTCGTAGAATAGTTCAAAACAAGTCTACTTTCTATTACAATTCCTTATATCACTTTCACTAGTTCTGCTTATGATGGACACTTTTGTTGCCTTTATTAAATAAAATGATAGGCTATAGTTCATCAGAATGCTGTGCACTTAATAGAATGTGTCAGAGAGAAGTCCAATAGAAAACTGTGAAATTACCTCTTCTGTCTGTTTCCAATACCCTCCAGTAAGTCCTAATAGCAAAGCAAAACTCAGTCTTCGGCACCCTCCTGCCCCATATAATTCCACGATTTAAAACACAACCGCAGAGGAAAGGAAATCATCATGTTTTATAAGAAGTGTATGTGGGCTGCAAGTGCGGTCATCTTCTTACCCATCCTTGACCGACTTGAAGCAAGAGAATGGAAAAACTATGAAAAGGTCCGCTCCATAGGCTAACTTTTGTACCTCCTTGATAAAGTCTCAGGTCGTTTGCCAGGGGCCGCTCACATTTTATTCTCACTCTCAGACATTAGGAGCTGTCCTTTGAAGATCATCATGTCTTTAATTAGAATCGCGTAATGAACACTCCTCTTAAATACAAAAATATCACTCAAATTTCCCGATCATCCCCTCTCTACCTTGTGAATGTATTTGCTCTCCCTCCTTTTCATCCCTCCACTTATATCTACAGTAAGCGCTTACCAGGAATAATTTTTCTTGTTCCCTTTAACTGAAATTCCAATTGAGCAATGTGAACATTCACAGATAACCACATGTCGTCGTTCATATCCTCAGAATAACGAACCTCCAAGGATGGATGCTGCCTCAGTTGTTTCATGTTTCTCGTGCGCCTTACAAATCAGTAACGAATAAACCGAAAGACAATACAATTATGCACGGTGACGCAAGCTTGGTTTGAAATGGAACACCACTCTTAAAACGTTATTCCAACATCGATTCATCAATATGTATCAATGGACTGAACACATAAAGTGAAGCCTTCGCCCCGGTTAAGATTAGTTTTGTTTACTTTCATTGCTACAACTCCCTCTTAAACCTCATGGTGTAATTGGCTTGGTTTCACTGACCTCCCTCCCCCTTCACGCTCATAATCGGTGTCAATCTGTTGGATAAAATTTGAGATCCGTTAGATGATGACCAATATGAGTATTTCAATTTGTTGCAAAACCTTCACCTGTTTGACACTTTCCCCATGCGTCTCTTTATTTGTGTTTGTGACAAATGAAGTCATGACAACCAGTATGTTTCCAATACTCCTTATTTTATCAGATGTTCAAATGATAGCAGGCTTAGATAACAATATGTACACGACATTTGGCATCTGAAAGGACAGCGCTCACCTGCACTGCGCAGTGCGCACCTTCGATCTCTCCCCACGCTACTACTACACCAGAAGGGAGCAGGGACAATCCTTACCCGATTGAAGTTGACATTTGAAATGGTTAAGGTAAGGTAAGGGTTATGGTTAGGTTTAGGGAATAGTTTAGGGACATCCCAAGGATCCCTGATAGCACTGACCAGAATAGAATTGACTAGGAGTTTATGTATGATAGTATATTACTATTATTATTTTTCACATAAATCTTTAGGCCTATTTAAAAACAGAAATCAATCAAACATATCCAAGTGTCAGTTCCGTTGGTCTTCAGTGCTATAGCCCATTGGCTTGAAACATCCATCTATCTCTAACACAGGGAGCACGGACAGAGGCTATTGTATTGTATTATATTTATTAACGCTCGCCAAGGCAGCAGCTACTCTTCCTCAGGTCCAGCAACATTAAAGCAGTTACAGTGCATTTGGAAAGTATTCAGACCCTTTGACTTTTTCCACATTTTGTTATGTTACAATCTTATTCCAAAATGGAAGAAATCGTTTTTCCCCTCATCAATCTACACACAATACCCCATAATGACAAAGCATAAACAGGTTACTATAAATGTCTAAATGTAAAAAAAATTTTTTTTTTTTTAAATGCTTCACCATAGGGATGGTGCCAGGTTTCCTCCAGACGTGACCTTTAGCATTCAGGCCAAAGAGTTCAATCTTGGTTTCATCAGACCAGAGAATCTTATTTCTCATGGTCTGAGAGTCCTTTAGGTGCCTTTTGGCAAACTCCAAGCGGGCTGTCATGTGCCTTTTATATAGGAGTGACTTCCGTCTTGCCACTCTACCATAAAGGCCTGATTGGTGGAGTGCTGCAGAGATGGTTGTCCTTCTGGAAGGTTCTCCCATCTCCACAAAGGAACTCTGGAGCTCTGTCATAGTGACCATTGGGTTCTTGGTCACCTCCATGACCAAAGCCCTTATCCGCCAATTGCTCAATTTGGCCGGGCAGCCAGCTCTAGGAAGAGTCTTGGTGGTTCCAAACTTCTTACATTTAAGAATGATGGAGGCCACTGTGTTCTCGAGGACCTTCAATGCTGCAGAAATGTTTTGGTACCCTTTCCCAGATCTGTGCCTTGACATTATGGGGTATTGTGTGTAGATTGATGAGAAATAATAATTATTTAATTATAGATTAAGGCTGTAATGTAACAAAATGTGGAAAAAGGGAAGGGGTCTGAATAATTTCCAAAATACACTGTATATACAATTTAAAATATTACATGACATTACATTTAATAACAATTTCACAACACATTAAGTGTGTTCCCCCAGGCCACTACTCTACAATCACATATTTACAATACAAAATCCATGTGCACGTGTGTAGAGTGCGGCAGGAGGACCAGACTTCTGCCGAGTACATGCTCACCTTACAGACAGTAACATAATCCAGTGGATGGAATGAGCCGGCGCTTCGTACGCTATCCAGAAGAGGACTGCGCAAGGAGGTCCAGATGGAACTAGCCTGTCGAGACGACAAAGGTGAGTATTTATTTACAAACTCAAATGTGGAAGCAGAATAATCCAGGAGACGGAGCGGGCATTGGAGATGAGTTGGTGGGAGTGAATAGGCAGATCCAATGGTGTCACAGAAGCCACCGACGACCAGGCAGGGGTGGGGTGAATGTTCCGGGAGAATGACTGTAGACAGAGTAAACGGAGGTAAGTACATGGCAAGCAAAAAGTACAGAACAACAAAACTAACTCTAGTAAACTTGAGGCTGATACGCTGACACAACATACTATTCATGGCTAACGATCCGGCAGGGAATGGATGTCAGGTCAGAGCTTATAAAGTGGAGAGGTGATGATCAGGACCAGGTGTGCAGATAGCTGATGAGATGCAGGTGCGGGTAATCGAGAGATCTCCCGCCTAGCCTCGTCGCCCGGCAACCAGACAGGGTGCGTTCAGGAACCTCAGGAAACAGACTCCAAGACAGAAAACAGGCAACTCAGGCAGAAACAGACTCAGGAAGCGGGATTCATGACAGTACCCCTCCTTCGACGAACACCACCGGGCAGACTACCCGGAGCGCCAGGATGGAGGCGGTAGAAGTCACGAAGGAGGTCAGCATCAAGGATCTGACGCCGAGGAATCCAACTCCTCTCCTCAGGACCATACCCCTCCCAGTCCATGAGATACTGGAAACCCTGACCCCGCCGTCTGGAATCCATGATGCGGCGCACTGTGTAGACAGGACCACCTCCGATCATCCGAGGAGGAGGAGGAGGAGGAGGAGGAGGCGGAGGGGGCAGCAGAGGATTGAGGAGAACAGGCTTGAGGCAGGAGACATGAAAGGTGCGATGGACTCTGAGCGTTCTAGGCAACTTGAGTCGAACCACAACAGGATTAATCACTCTCTCCACCACAAACGGACTAATGAACCTCGGTGACTGTTTCTTCGACTCAGTCCGCAGAGGAAGATCCTGTGTAGCCAACCAGACCTTATCTCCGATGGCATAAGCGGGGGCTGGTATATGGCGACGATTCACCTGGAGCTGATACCGGTCAGAAACTCTAAGGAGGGCCTTTCTGGCCCGATGCCAGGTCCGGTGGCAATAACGAATGTGGGCCTGGACAGAGGGAACCGAGAGATCCTTCTCCTGAGAAGGGAACAAGGGAGGTTGGTAGCCGTACAGGCACTGGAAGGGAGACATCCCAGTGGCAGATGTAGGGAGAGTATTGTGGGCATACTCGACCCATGGCAACTGAGATACCCAAGAGGTGGGGTTGGAGGAGACAAGGCAGCGCAGCGTGGATTCCATCTTCTGGTTGGCTCTCTCCGCCTGACCATTAGATTGGGGGTGAAATCCAGATGTGAGACTGACTGTAGCTCCAATGGCCAAACAGAAGGATTTCCAGACAGCAGAGGTAAACTGAGGACCACGGTCGGAAACTATGTCACTGGGCAACCCGTGGACCTTGAAAACCTCCCTAACCAGGATCTCGGACGTCTCAGAGGCAGAGGGAAGCTTGGAGATCGGCACTAAGTGGGCGTACTTGCTGAATCTGTCCACAATAGTCAGAATGACCGTGTTCCCCTCAGAAGAGGGCAACCCAGTGACAAAGTCCAGGGCCAGATGCGACCATGGTCGCCGGGGAATAGGTAGGGGGTGAAGAAGTTCAGAGCTGGTCCGATTGGCACTTTTATTCTGCGCACAAACTGGACAGGCAGCAATAAACCTCCGGGTATCTTCTCCCATGGCAGGCCACCAAAATTGTCTGCGTAGTAACGCCATCGTCCGAGCCACGCCAGGGTGACAAGCCATCTTGCTGGCGTGGGACCATTGGAGGACAGCAGAACGGACAGACTCTGGCACAAA